AGGCAGGGGTGGGGAGAGGCAGGGAGGAAGCAACTTACCCTCCCTCTTCTCCTGCCTCCTCCTGGCTGAATGAGGGCTGGAAGCGGGGCGGCCAGAAGCAGGGGGCGGGGCTTTGTCATGTGCTCCGCCCCCCTACACCTCACCCGGGGGAACTGCATTCCCCCGCGTTCCCCCCCAAAATGACCTCTGGTTCTGACACAGAGCATGTTTCCAAAAGTAAGCACATCTCAATAAAGTATCACTTCTTAAGTGTGTTGTGGAGAGTGTCTTAACTGGGAGACCTGACATGTAGGGGGTCTTTATCCCACTATCGGGCATCCTCTTCTCCCCCCCCCCAAATACAACTGTGGGGAAAGAGACCCCCCAACCCAGTTTGTGGACCGACATTGCACATAGTTTGGGCCCAAGAGGCCCTTTAGCTCCATAAAGCTTCTTTTCCGCCATTCCCTTTGCACGCTGGTTATTTGACCATCCCACCTACCTCTCCAATACACCTTAACTTAAAGATCTCGTTTTCTTTATTAAAGAGCCATGTCTGGTTCCATCTTGTGCCACATTTGGCTGTAGAGCCCCTGCCCTAGTCCGATCACACTACCGTTGAGTTGGGAGAGAAAAACGTCTGAAGTGCATGCCAAATTTTCCCATTGAAATTAATGGAGCGAAAAGTGCTTAAAGTTGGCTGGATCATACTTTAATCTTATTGTGACAGCTGTCAAAAATACGGCATGACCTCTGGCGCTCATGTCTGCAGCACTCTCCCTACTGCTTCTTGGGTAGGGATTCCGATTGTCGTTCTCTCATTATACTGTTGCCTTCTTTCCTTTTGCTGTTGAGTCCAGGTGGGTGTGGCGTAAAGGTGATCAGCTCACGACTTTAACCCCAGTCAAGTTGGTTTTACAAAGTGATGTTCCCTGCCCCCGTTGTAACATCTGGTCACTCATGTCATATGGATCCTTCTAGCCAGTTTTTTCAGTCGCGCTGGATGTTTTTTGGTGGTATTTACTTCTCATGAGAGCCATATGGGCCACCCAAAGCAATTTTGTCTGGCCACTGGTAGTTCCAAATTTTAACCACTGTATAATAGAAAGTTCATCAACAGCTTCGATCGTAAGCAATTTCCATTAAACATGTTCCGAGAGAGGGAGATTCTACAGTTTAATGTTACGTCTCTCTTTGGCTGATGAACCGTATCTATGGCTTAGTACACCTGCTCCATAACCGTGGGTCTCTTATTACTAGATGGCTTCAACTGCATTATAGAGTCTGTGCATATGAGAGCCATATGGGCCACCCAAAGCAATTTTGTCTGGCCACTGGTAGTTCCAAATTTTAACCACTATATAATAGAAAGTTCATCAACAGCTTGAGGCTACCAGTTGGGGGAAAATGGCGATTTGACGCACCTTGCAATCGCGCAGGGTGGACGCGGGCTCCTTTTGACAGTTTGGCCGAGTTAACAGCCCAACGCAACCTTCCCCAGATAGGGGGAGAGTCTGGCAAGCATCAAGACCCAAGAGGGAGTTGAGATTGGTGTGATCAAGCCTTGGAGGAGGCTTGTATTACACTTTGATCCCCTCTCTCGAAGCGGGCGTTGCATTCAGCACTAGAGGAGCTTACCGAGCTGAGAATTAGACATGTACCAAGAGAGAGAGATTCTACAGTTTACGTCTCTCTTTGGCTGATGAACCGTATCTATGGTACACCTGCTCCATAACCATGGGTCTCTTATTACTAGATGGCATCAACTACATTATAGAGTCTGTGCATACGAATATATAAAGCTGCCTTATACTGAACCAGCCATTGTTCCGGCTCACGGTAGTCTTCTGTGACTGGAAAGGCTCTCCGTATCTTAGTCAGATAAAAGATTTCCCTTTCCCCTGTGACCCCGAAATCCTTAACTGAAGATGCCTCAGCAACTGAGGGAGGGTTGGGGGTGGTGGCAGCAGTGCCTCCCCCCACAGGGAAACTCAAGACACAAAATTGTGCCTGTGGGCCTGTGACTCCCTATCCTCCAAGGTCGTCTCACTTCGCATCGCACAGAAGATGAATGCTGCCAGGCAACGGAGGTGTGCTGATTGTGCTTGTTCCCTTGGTGTTCCTTGCTGCTTCAACCGCGGCGGCTCCCCCAAGTGCCCAGCCACTTCACTACCTTAATGGTGGTGGGGGGGTGGCTCTCCTGCCTGGGCACCCACTCGGTAGCTTTGCTGCCTCAACAATAGCAAAGGCAGAGACTCGGTCAATCACGTAGCTGCCTGTTTTGCTTTCTCAATGGGAGCAGCAGCTCACCTGCCTGCCAGGTGTAATGGAATGTTATCTGCGCCTGCTCAGAGAATACTCTTCTAGAGGAGGATAGAAATTTCCCCTCCATTTAAAAAAAGCTTTAAGATATTTCTGCAAAACTGGGGGTTCCCCCAAGTTTGCAGGAAAAATCTGTTTAGTGCAATGATTCCTCTAAGCTGTGGAGTCTTGTGAGCAAAAATTCTACTTTGTGAGCTACTGGTATTAAAGTTGTGAGCAAGCGATTTGGCTACTGCATAAATTAGTTTACCCTGGAGCCATCCTTCCTGAGCTAAGACAAAAATGTGTGAGCCAGAGGCTAAAAAACTGTGAGCTAACTCACACTAACTCAGCTTAGAGGGAACACTGTGAGCTGCTGGCATTAAAGTTGTGAGCAAGGGATTTGGCTGCTGCATAAATTAGTTTGCCCTGGAGCCCTCCTTCCTAAGCGAAGACAAAAATGGGTGAGCCGGAGGCTAAAAAACTGTGAGCTAGCTCACACTAACTCAGCTTAGAGGGAACACTGGTTTAGTGTCAGTGTGGCCCCAATCTACGGATTTAGATATCCTCTGATGGGGGACCAGACTTCACTACTAGATATATAGATTAAAAAGTTAATGGGGGAAAAACTCCTTCAGAATTCTCCCTTTGTGCCCCCAAAAGGCTTTTTTCTTTCAGTTTTAAAATTAGTTCAGCACATGAACAGTGAATGTTAAGGGGGGGGGTTGCATTTTTTCCCTTTCATGGAGTGCTGTTCTGTAATGCACAAAGGAAACAAATGGAAACCCCTCCAAAATTAGCTCTTTCTGCGTCAAAACTACACTTTTTAAAGCCCCCCCCCAAGCACTCCAAGTACTGGTTTTGCAGGTGCTTCTGATAAATTTTTGTTTTGTTTTTAGGTTGCAACAGATGGGTGTGCTTTCCCTGGATTTCCCAGTTCTCAGGGTCATAGAAATGTGCATCTATAGGCCTTCTTTAGTGCCCTGGCCACAACCTGGTGGAACTCTCTGCTGAGTAACAGCCGTGCCCTGCGGGACTTGATGCAGTTCCACGGGGCCTGTAAGGTGGAGATGTTCTGCTGGGTGTTTCATAGAATCATAGAATGTTAGAGTTGGAAGGGATCTTGCAGGTCATCTAGTCCAACCCCCTGCACTCCGGTTGAGGACGGTGACAACGTCCATCTGGCTGGCACTCTTCCCCCTCCCCCCTCTGCAAGGTGGTAGTATAATTGGAAGTCTGATCACCATCTGATTAAATTGATACTGAAATTTTATTGCGATTTTAATGTTTTAACTAGTATGCTGTAGTTGTTTTTATTTATCATTGTACACCACCCTGAGCCCTGTTTACAGGGAATTGGGTGGTGTAAAAATGGATTTAAATAAATTAAGTAAAAAACAGCTCCTGACTCTACAGACACTGGAGGAGCTGGAGGCTTTACCTCTTGCACTCTGCGCCTAGAAATTCTGTCAAATTTGATGGAAGGTTGTCAGAGCAAACCTTTGGGGCTATGGACAGTAGATTGCTAGAAGAAATCTATTCTCCCCCCCCCCATTCCATCCCAACATTCCAACTTTGCTATTTACGATCAGGGGTCGTTTCGTAGAAAAAGAGCTAGGGGAACTCATTAGCACAACTCATTAGCATATGCCACACCCCCTAACACCACCGGAAGTGTGTCATAAGGCCACACACACCACCCCCAATGGTCCCGGCCGCCGCCAGCCTTGCAGCTCCACTGCCGAGCCCCATGAGGGGCATGGCGGTGGACCTGCAAGGCCGGCGGGAGTGCAAGGAAGCCCCGTGAAGGCCCTCCCTGGCCCCAGGCAGGCAGGGGTGGGGAGAGGCAGGGAGGGAGGAACTTACCCTCCCTCTTCTCCTGCCTCCTCCTGGCTGAATGAGGGCCAGAAGCGGGGTGGCCGGAAGCAGGGGGCGGGGCTTCGTCATGTGTCCCGCCCCCGTACCTCACCTGGGGGAACTGCGATCCCCCGCGATCCCCCCCGAAATGACCTCTGTTTACGATCATTTTATACACATACCTTGTGCTTTGGTGGCCACAGTTGCTTAAACTCCCACAAAGAAAGGGCCAGGCTGGCTTGCGTCTCAATAGTGCTGTTATTTCCCTTGAAGTTCTGAGGTAACCCATTCGTTTTCACAAGTGGGTGGCAGAACGAAGAACGGAGGTTGTCTGTGGAAAATGTGAAGGGAAGATGGAAACAACATGTCAGACAACAATTCTCTGGGCATGAGTGGTGGGTTGAGCTGGTAAGGGAATAACCCAAGGCTATTGTTTAAAAGTCACAGTAGCTGCATTCCTGTCTGTGAAGAAGTTTCCGGAAGACCCTTGGTGGTGCCACACAATGGCCCATTGCTGTGGGAGTTTGTTAAAAACATTCTTAGTAACTGGTTGAATAAAACGTCGTAGGGCTGACAGCTCCAGGTTGGGAAATTCCAGGAGATTTGGGGGTGGGAGGGCAGGGTTTGATGACAAGAGGGACCTCACTTGGCTATAAAGTCCTAGTGTCCTCCCTCCAAAGCAGCTATTTCTCCAGGAAAAATGATTTCTGTCATCTGAAGATCAGTTGTCATTCCTGGAGATCTCTGGGCTCCACATGGAGACTGGCAACCCTAGTTCAAGAAGAAGAAGAGGAGGAGGAGGAGGAGATGGGATGTGTACCCTGCCCTTCACGTGGAGTCTCAGAGCGACTAACAAACTCCTTTCCCTTCCCCTCCCCACAACAGACACCCTGTGAGGTGGGTGGGGCTGAGAAAGCTCTGACAGAACTGTCCTTGAGAGAACAGCTCTGACAGAACTATGGCTCGCCCAAGGTCATCCAGCAGCTGCAAGTGGAGGAGTGAGGAATCAAACCCGGTTCTCCCAGATTAGAGTCTGCGCACTTAACCACTCACTACACCAAACTGGCTCCAGCACCACGCTCACTTGGTTTCCCCCCTTGCCACACATCTTTCCCCTGGAGTCTATTTATTAAATGCTTCTTCAGGTTGTTAAGGCTTTAGGATAACCTTTTGTTGGTTTTTGATTCCAGAATCATTCCTATTTTCCTGATCCATCGGCCCAAGAGTAACATCCCTTACGCAACTGTGGAAGAGGAGCTCATTGGGGAATTCGTGAAATACTCTGTCAGGGATGGGAAAGAAATCAACTTCACTAGGAGGGACTCGGAAGCTGGCCAGAAGTGTTGCACCTTTCAGCACTGGGTATACGAAAGAACCAGCGGCAGTTTGCTCATCACAGATATGCAAGGTGTGTCGCTGTTCGTTTTGTGGCAGTGTGGGATGCAAGACTGGTGTGGTGCCGTGGCTGCATGGCACAGGGAGTCCCCAGTTCAGGTCTAGGGTTGCCAGTTCTAGGTTGGGAAATACCTGGTGATTTGGGGGTGGGGTGGAGCCTGAGGAGGGTGGGGTTTGGGGAGGGGGGAACTTCAATGGGGTATCATAATAAATAATAACAATGCTTTCGATTTATTGATCGCTCTTTCCCACATACCTGCGGGCTCAGAGCGATTTACAGTTACTCTTGAGACAGTTGGACTAACAATATTTGTGGGGATAGGGAAGACAAACATGCAGCATTAATTACACACACATTGCAGCTAGCCGGGCTTCATCTGCGGGCTGGGTCAGTCGTGTTCCTACGGCATCTTGTCGGCTGGCTGATGACGTCTGGCTTCTTGATGTTGTGCAGCCACACACTGCCACCGCCTGGCCGACTCGCTCCACTGCAGGGAAGCCGACACATCTTTTGTCTTTCAGGTCGCCGCGCCTCAGAAGTTGCCTCGGCAGCTAACACCTTCCCGAAGGGTTGGGTGTGCCCACCCCCTTACGGGTGGTCCCCAATTTATCTACTTGCCGAAGCTTTCGAATCGCTGGGTAGACGATGAGCTAGGACAAGGCTTGGTTGCTCACACCAGCACGGGGCTAGAACTGCCAAAGCATGGCAGTTCAGATGTTATTGTTAAGCAGGGAGAAATCCCCTGCGCCACTGCTCATGCCATAGAGTCCACCTTTTCTCCAGGTGGGCTGATCTCTGTTGCCTGGAGATCAGTCATAATCCCAGGACATCTCCAGCCACCCCCCCCCCGGAGGCTTAGCAACCCTATTCAGGTCTTTTCTAGTTGTTCTAGCTGCAAAGAAGGGAAAAGAAAACCCAGCCTAGAAAGCAAATCAGGTGAATCTGATGGTTAAGAATACAAAAAAAAGATTGCTCTAATAAAAACATGAATAAAATCTAAACAAAAAATCAGATTTAATTAATTTCACTGTAAAACACTCAAAAAATAATACCATTTGGAATAAGACCTCTAAATGGTGGGTACCTGGGTTGGTCTGCAGTGGATGAATAAGGTTCAAGGTATCGGGCAAAGGGAGCTTTGTCTGTCAGAAGCTTATGCCTTGAACACCTTGTTAGTCTTTAAGGTGCTACTGGACTTTGTACTTATTCTGATTTACCTGATCAGGTCTCATCTAAGCCCTGGCCTTTTCCGGGATGTGTGGCCGTGGTCTTGGCATTGTAGAACCTGACGTTTCGCCAGTAACTGTGACTGGCATCCTCAGAGGTATAAACACAGAAAGATGGAGGACTCTCTGTGTCAAGGTATTCCATCTTTCTGTGTTTATACCTCTGAGGATGCCAGTCACAGTTACTGGCGAAACGTCAGGTTCTACAATGCCAAGACCACGGCCACACATCCCGGAAAATCTACAGTAACTAATGATCCTTTAAATGCTCTTGAGAAGAAGCACATGCCTCTCCCTCCCTCCTGGAAAATTTAAAGGGCCCTTCAGGTGATCACCAGGGAGCTCCCCCTTCATTATGGCAAATAATGGCAGCCCCACCAGAAATCCTTTTGCCCCACAAGCCACAAAATCCTGGCTACGGGTCTGTCTAAGCCACACAATGACCTGGTTCACAGAAGAATAAGGGCCTAACTACGCACTACATTTTACTGCAGGCCTTTCAAGGGTTTGCATTATCAATGGGCACTTGTGAGTTCCCTGCGGGGAACTCAGTTCCCAGATATGTGGAGCCCTCTTTGGATCAGAACCATGTTAAGAGAAGAGGGCTTCGACCTCCTCACATGCACCCATTCCCACATGCAGCCCTGGGGAGGGCATTATTTGCCATAATACGGTAATAAAAGCAATTTAACCTGGTGAGATTTCCCTTTGGCTGGTGAACAAACCTGACCAGGAAACTTTTGCAAAGGAGATCATCTGATCTATTTTTAGTTAGTAGTGGGTTCTTTGCTTTATCCTATATATGTAGTCCCCCTTCCCTTTTTTCTGTAGTAGTTTTGTAGTCTTACAAAAAATAATAAAAAATCCCCTCCGGGGGCTCAAAAAGAAGAAGAAGAGATAATCTGATCTACTCTGGCCTGTTAGCATAAGGAGATTTCCTCAGCACCAGAATTGTGTAGAGATACATGATTTAAACCCCTTGCTGACAACCCTCAGGCCACCAATTCAACACCAGCTTTAGAACTTGAATCCTGCTGTTCAAAAGCAGCCCTGACCAGAATAGAAAATATGCAGAAAGAGGCTTCCGGTCGGGCTAAGATGGAGGACTGACACACTTTCGCGATTGTGCGAAGTGAGCGACGGCCGCTTTTGACAGCTTGGGCAGTTTTTAGCCCAACGCATCGCTCCCCAGTGAGGGGGGGGGGACAAGCAGGCAGCAGCGCCTAAGAGGCCACACAATGACCTGGTTCACAGAAGAATAAGGGCCTAACTACGCACTACATTTTACTGCAGGCCTTTCAAGGGTTTGCATTATCAATGGGCACTTGTGAGTTCCCTGCGGGGAACTCAGTTCCCAGATATGTGGAGCCCTCTTTGGATCAGAACCATGTTAAGAGAAGAGGGCTTCGACCTCCTCACATGCACCCATTCCCACATGCAGCCCTGGGGAGGGCATTATTTGCCATAATACAGTAATAAAAGCAATTTAACCTGGTGAGATTTCCCTTTGGCTGGTGAACAAACCTGACCAGGAAACTTTTGCAAAGGAGATCATCTGATCTATTTTTAGTTAGTAGTGGGTTCTTTGCTTTATCCTATATATGTAGTCCCCCTTCCCTTTTTTCTGTAGTAGTTTTGTAGTCTTACAAAAAATAATAAAAAATCCCCTCCGGGGGCTCAAAAAGAAGAAGAAGAGATAATCTGATCTACTCTGGCCTGTTAGCATAAGGAGATTTCCTCAGCACCAGAATTGTGTAGAGATACATGATTTAAACCCCTTGCTGACAACCCTCAGGCCACCAATTCAACACCAGCTTTAGAACTTGAATCCTGCTGTTCAAAAGCAGCCCTGACCAGAATAGAAAATATGCAGAAAGATTTCTGGATTCTTTCCTTTCCTCAAGGCTATCACTGTATTCGTTTTAAACATGTTACCTACCGGCAAGAAATGTATTATTTTTGCCCGCTGTGGGAAATCTCTGCTTCCACAATGTGCTATAATATTTAACTGAAGAGACTGATGCGGTAAGAATCTTCTCAATCAGGCCACCACTAGCAACCAGTCTGAAAGGAGGATAAAGTAGCTTTATGTAGGCCTTTAATACACTTGTAATGTTCCTTTTCTCCTGCCAACCTAGCAGTTTGAAAGCAAGAAATTGCAAGTAGATAAATAGGGACCACTTCGGTGGGAAGGTAACAGCGTTCCGTGCGCCTCGGTGTTTAGTCATGCCGGCCACATGACCACGGAAACGTCTTCGGACAGCGCTGGCTCTTTGGCTTTGAAACGGAGATGAGCACCGCAACCCTAGAGTCGGATTCGACTGGCTTTCGAGGAAGGGAACCTTTACCTTTAATGTTCATTTTAGCCGGTCTGTGACTCTGCTGGGACTCTTTACAGGACCCTGTAGCTTGCATTATTTGACAGCTTTGTAAACCAGTGTCTAGTCCTGCGTGTAAACCAAAGTCTAGTCATGCCTTGCCCTGACCTGGTTGGCCCCAAGCTCGTCAGAAGCTAAGCAGTGTCAGTCCTGGTTAGTACTTGGATAGGAGACCTCCAGAGAAGCCCAGAGTTGCTATGCAGAGGCAGGCAATGGCAAACCATCTCTGAACGCCTCTCGCCTTACACCTACCATGTCCCCCCCTTAGCCATCTCTTTTCTAAACTGAAAAGTCCCAGACTCTTCAGCCTAGGGTTGCCAGGTGTCTTCTTTGCACCAACAGGGGGATTTGGGGGGCCTTCCGGGGATGGGCGGGGACATCATGGTAGAAGTTATTTTCACCATAGAGTTTTTGCCCAGATACCAGAGCATCACCAGTGACGACTTTTGTGTGTGTGCAGGAAGTGACGTTGCTGGTGAGGCAGGCCTAGGCCTCATTTTGCTGCCCGTAAGTCCCCAGCTGGCCAGATGATTGGTGCCAGGGAAGAGGGGCCCCTAAGTGGGGGATCCCCCACCCCCAGTCTAGTGTCACACAACAAAGTGAATTTATGACCTTCTGTATGCTAACCAGATGCTCTTCTACTGAGCCAGGATCCCACCCCAACATCTGTCAGCAAAGAGACTAGAATGCAGGCCAAGGTCATTGCTGGATTCTGTCCACAGCCTGCATGGGAGAGAGCCACTGGAGAGGAGGAGAATTAGCACAGAGCAGGGGTCATTTCGTAGAAAAAGAGCTAGGGGAACTCATTAGCATAACTCATTAGCATATGCCACACCCCCTGACATCAGGGGCCCGGCGGTGGACCTGCAAGGCCAGCGGGAGTGTGAGGAAGCCCCGCCAAGGCCCTCCCTGGCCCCAGGCAGGCAGGGGTGGCGAGAGAACATAAGAACATAAGAACATAAGAGACGCCAATGTTGGATCAGGCCAAAGGCCCATCCAGTCCAACACTCTGTGTCACACAGTGGCCAGAAATACCAGGTGCCATCAGGAGGTCAAGCAGTGGGGCCAGGACATTAGAAGCCCTCCCACTGTTGCCCCCCCCCCAAGCACCAAGAAGACAGAGCATCCCTTGCCCCAGAGCCCCTAGCTATACCTTGTGGCTAATAGCCACTGATGGACCTCCGCTCCATACGCTTATCTAATTCCCTTTTGAAGCCGTCCATGCTTG